TATATATATATACACATTTATTAGCAAATTAGATCAACAACAATTAGCTTAAAAGTTCATTTAAATATTGATTTGCTCCTAGAATTCGCTTGAATATTGAGTTTCAGGGGAAAGAAACATGATTTTGTTTAAGTTAATATTTAATTAATTTTAGTCAATTTAAAGCAACTTCGAATATAATGGTTTGCATAATATGTAATGACACATAATCTAGCATGATTTGAATGAAATTTGGAGGTACTAACTAGCATGTTTTGTTGGGGCTAGTATCTATTGATTGTGAAGAAGATGAGTATGAATTTTTTTTTTGAACAACAATATTAAATTTATTTTATTATTGAGAGTACAAGAAGTACTTCAACCCTTAATCTATTACATGTTCAAACTCTCCTACCATTGATTCTATAACAATCTCCCCTAAGAAGAGTATGAATTGAATTTATCAACAATCTTATAGTTACGTTATTTGACTCTTTAAATTATAATTATTAAATATTAAATTTGAGCACGATATGTTTACAACACCTTTCAAAAGTATATATTTAAATATTGAGATAACTTTTGGTAATAACCACAGCACATTATAATTTGACTTTAATGGGGTGGTTCAATGGTTAAGAACCTAAGATTTTAAGTTGAAAATCTTAAGTTCAAACCTTGAGTCATACGAGAAGGAGTTTAGGAAGAAGGGAGGCTTATTTCTCTTGTATTGCCCATTCAAATGTATCAAAAAAAGGGGGGAAAAAAAGCACATTACAATTAGTAGAGTTATAGTTGCAACTTAATTACAGCTCATCATAATAATCCCAAATACAACATAAGATTTTGTTTAATATAGTTATAGTTTTGAGTTTATGATTTCTGTTTTTAAAATTCAAATAATTAAAAATTAAAAATTAAAATTCCTAACTTATTAGATATAAAATTTTTAAACAAACACTTAAAATTCAAAACTTAATTAATTTATAAAAATTCTTAATTTTATTCTAGAATTTTAAAATTTTTAAAAACCAAAATTTAAAATTTAAAACTACAAATAGGATAAACATAAACTAAGTTATGCAATGAGAAAGAGCTGTATTTCTTTCATTGCATATCTCAAAGGTAGACCTTAGTCTACCTTCACGTGGACTGGTCTTATTGTTCTCTTCTAGAGTTCTCTTTCTTTTTCTCGTCTTTCTCTCGGTTCCGTATAAAAATGGCATTGCTTTCCTTCTCGTCCAACTCTACCATCTCTCAGTCAAATTCAATTGCCCCAGAGTCCAGACCAAGTTTAACAATATATCAAATAACATATATATATATATATATATATATATATACTCGCCGAGTGGGACTTAACGTACGGTGAGCTCTCCTTCCCGGAGGGTGACAGCAGAAGATCAAACCCTCTGACTTTGTGGTTGCCTCCGCCTGCCATGGACTCTAGCAATTATTCTGTATCTTCTTCTCCTTGTCTCTGTTAGGATTTTTCGTGCTCAAATTGGCTATTTATTATTTGTGTGTTGATTCTTGAGGTAATTTGGTGCTAATTTTTTTGAACATTTGGTTGTGTTTACAGGGAACGAGTTCTCAGACTCTGAGCGTTGTAGGGCATATATGTGCAGCTTTTATAATTCCCATTATTGCGGTGTTCGATTTTCTGATATTTTCTTTTGCAAACTGCTTTGAACAGCAGCCCTCTCATTACAACAAACATCGCTATGGTTCTGAACATATGGCTCGCCTTGCCCATCAAACTTGTTGTAATTCTCTCTCTTTTAGTTTTACTCTCTATATATTCTTGTTTTTGCATGCCTTTTGGTTTTTGGTCCCGCGAAAACTTGGCCTAGCAAAAGGAGATTAAGGATCCAATGCCCTAATATTTTATTCTCATCATGTCTTTCTTGCAAAACCAAACATTGAGTAGTAGTAGTAATTTCTTCTAAATTTCTGATATATATTGACAGCTCCCTTTCATCATGTGCAATGCAGATTTTATTCATTCTTTTTCCGAAGGTCTATATTATCTGGGGTATACATGTAGGAAAATCTCAAATCAGTGCTATTTTTTTGACACGTTTCAATATGTGGGACCATTGAAGACCTAAAACTAGGGTCGTTACCCATTACCCGTTTCTCGTGTGCGTACGTAGTAGTCTATCTTGTTTTTGTTTTTATCTAATTAAAAACTGAAATCCTTGTATCATGTGTTCCTATCAAACTCCCCCACCGTATGCGTTGGGTTGTAGCATGGTGGCATGTTATGGTAAGGAATGAGATTTAAGTTTCCATATCCGGAAGTGTTGAAATTATTGTGGGTTGGACCTAGACCGCCTAGCTATCTGTCATCTACCATTGATTTTCAAACACTACCGTTGTTCATCCTCATCACTTGTCCAAAATCGATCTTTTTTTCCTTTCCCCAAATTCTATATCCGATATTTTGATGCTAATCATTATAAGAATGAGTATGTAAAGAGGACATTGCTGCAATCGTACGTCTCAATGCAAGTGGAGAATAGTAAGGAAGAGACGGCAAGAGAAAGGAAGGAAAGAAGTGTTTCATGGTCCCAGGATCTGAAACGTTTCAAAAAAAAAAAAATGACTGGTTTGAGATATATATCCTACTGGTATACCCGAGATATGGTAGACTTCTCGTTTCTCCTTTTTTTCTGGTAATGGTGCAGTTACTGTTAATGAGGTTGAGGCATTGTATGAGCTATTGAAGAAGTTGATCAGTTCTATAATCGACGATGGATTGATTCACAAGGTGACTTGAGCTTCTAGTGAATTAAAGTTATATACTTTCAATGTTTGTGTTGATTTTCCTGACTTAAAGCAGCTCTGCTCTCCATTGATATTGCACATGCACCTTATCTTTTCATTGTATTCTAAAACAAGAAACTAAGGAGTAGTTAGTATTCATTTTGGGACTTAAACTTATCACGTTTCAACTAATTAGTTGTTTATTTATATCAATGGTATGTGTTTCCATCATGCATTTTTTGTTATTTAACATTGTGGTTATGCTTATAAATAATTTTAATGCAGGAACAACTTCAATTAGCATTGTTCCACAATCCAGACATTGAGAATGTTTTTCTCAACCGGGTAATTAAATCCATTTCAAAAATTTCAACATGTCTTCAGTCTTGTTTAGAGCACTACTAACATTAATTTGATGACTTCTAATTTTCTTGACCTTTGAATGTTACAATAGGGGTTATATATTTCAAATCTCTTTATGCTTTTTTTTTGGGTGACTATATATATCTATCTTTTTTCTTTTGTAGGTTTTTGATCTTTTTGATGAGAATAAAAATGGTGCCATTAATTTTGAGGAATTTGTTCATGGCCTTAGTGTCTTCCATCGCTATGCACCTATGGAAGAAAAAATTGATTGTAAGGTTTCAATTGAAATCATTTGCTTCGATCAGAACAACCAAATATATCCTTACTCTTGTTAATTGCTTGCAGTTGCATTTAGGTTCCATGATCTTAGACAAACGGCCTTTATTGAGTGGGAAGAAGTGAGTATACATATGTGTGTGTGTGTTAATACAGTATTGCATCATTGCTGAAGTTGGATATATATATTTTTTTTTTGAACAGCAAAAAATAATATTTATTAAAAACGGAATACAAGGGTACCCCAAACCCATAAATATTTTAACTTGAAAGTTGGATATATATATATATATATATATGGTCCTTCAATAACCGATACAAGGCTTTAATAAGCTAATTTTCTCTATGTTAAATTCAGGTTAAGCAAATGGTAGCTGATGTTCTGATGGAATCTGGCATCGAATTACCGGATGACCTTCTTGATGCTATTGTTGACAAGGTGCACTTCTCTCCTGAGTAGTTGTTAATAATTTTGCATGTAGATATGTATGTCACTTTGTAGAGCCTTTAAATATTGATAGGAGCGTTCCATTATGTTGCAGACGTTTGCTGATGCTGATGCGGATGGGGATAGAAGAATCAATAAAGAAGAATGGAAGCAATTTGTGGTCCGAAATCCAAGCCTCTTGAAGAACATGACTCTTCCTTGTTTGATGTAATATAAGTTGTCC